AGCGTATAGGGGGGGGGGGGAAAGGGCCCAGGTCCACAAATTTGTGCTGTCAAATTTAAGGATTCAAGAAGTTGGAAGTGAGGATGATTCGCGTTGACATCCAGTCGACGCACTTAAGTGTTCATTTTCGAGGAAACTAGCCTGCTCACTGCAACATTTATGTTGCTCAAGTGTACCTTGGAAGTAGGAGGCACATAAAAAGCTCATTTTAGAATACGAAGGTCATCGGACTTCCCCGAGGAGGAGGCGAGGTGCAAAACCAAATGGCTCTGAAGATTTACTCATCCCAGTTAATATTGACTGATAAACATACCACTATCGAATCGATCTGTTCGTTTAAAGGACATCAAGGCTAGAGAATAAAGACACACGAGTAACGCACTACAAAGGCACAACCTGAAACACTAGTGATTCGTGGAATGAGATCTAATATGGTATAAATATACCCAAACTAACGGGTTAACAAACCACCTACAAAATTACGGCTATTATTACCTAAACGCGCAAATGCTATGTAGGCATGAATATTTTCGCAGATTGGTAAATATAAAATTTGCCTTAAATATCAGTCAAGTTGTGCATGAATAATAACATTACCAATTGTGCAGCCTTCCCATTTCTTTGCACCGCAAACATAAGTAAAGTTGCATTTTATTTATGTTAAAACAAGAAATTTTCAAAATAGATAGTGTTTGCTTGTTTTTTCGAACATTTTTTTACTGAGCTAGATTGCACGTTTGCCGCAGCACCTGTTTTAAAAGCCTTCATAGTGGTGGTAATGCTGCAGTTGGTTGTTTATTAGGCGGCAGGTCATTACGCATAGTGTTTGGTGCTTGCGCATTGGCTAGGATAAATTCTGCATTTTCGATTTAGTGATGTCATACATAAATTGTGCGATGTCTTAAACATTTAGGCAGGGTGGGCATGCAAAGGCTTTAATGCGTACTTATTTTGAATGCAACAATTTTGCACTGCTTTATATGGCATGATTTCTCTGTATTTTTGTGACTGATTTGATTTTCTGACTTTTTTGGTTATTTTACTCGACAAACCCTCGGACAAACTAGCACTGAATGCTTTTAAGGAGTCTCATTGGGCTTTCTGCCTGGGTTAATAGATCCGTACTAGTCCAAAGTGGGGACACTTAATTGCTTTGATCACCCTGAAGCCCAAACTCTGTTCACTGTCTCATTCCGTTGGTCTTACCTTTCATTCACAACTTTGACCGCATACTCAATTCGGCATTATTTGTTCCGTTGTGAGATTCCTGCGCAGGCCTTTTCGGTTTTCTAAGGAGTTTGTCCGCTTTTGTTTTAATCCCATCTATCCTCTCATAAGCATTACTAACGGCAAAGTTGCAGAATGCAACAACGTGGTTATTTTGTTTTCCTTACCGGTCGTGGTATAGGATCATTGTAGAAGCGTCTGGGTCTCATCGATCTTTCCCTATCCGATAGTCATTCAACTGACAGTCTGCTGTTACTGAAGTCTTACGTTATTTCTTAAGACTCATGCAGTTCATGAGGATTGAGGGAATGAAATGCGAATGTTGGATTAGAATACTGAGGTGTAGTCATTGGGGTAATCTACATCAGAAAGTATTGTATAGCGCATTTTTCTAATAAGTCTTCTACTTTTTTTCAGTCATGGCCGGCGTCCATTCCGCAGATTTATCAGAAGAGTTAGCAATAGCTCGCCAAATTCTTAACTACATCATGTCTCCATCCAATGCCAATATCGCATTGCCATTCATGTATCGGATTGATGCTCAAGCTTTAGATCTTCCAAAATATGACGAAATCGTACGCTTCCCAATGTGGCTAGGAAAGAGTGAGTTTTCGTTCTCTGCAGCCTAACCTAACTCAGTCACTTTTCCCACTTCTCGCCTTGCTTGTTTTGGACATTCAGTTTCGGAGAAATTGGATCGAAATAAGTACCCCGGCCTGCAAGAATTTGTTTGTGACTTCCGGCTTATCTTGGTCAACTGCTTTCGCTACAACGGTGTCTCCTCGCGTATGGGCCGAATCGCGGAGAAATTGGAGACTTTATTTGAGCAGAAACTGCAGCTACTCCCTCAGTGAGTGCCCTTCTTCCATTACTATCACCTTTCTGGTAGGAATAATCCCCAAATCCTCCCCTACTGTGCTTGTTCATCTGCAGGGAGTTACGGGCCAAAACGTCCCTCTATGCGACTCTGGGGTGTGGGTCTACGCACCATGATGCCAACGACAACGGTACGTGTGCCTTTGTGTGTTTTATTTTGGTGAACTGATCCGTTTAAGACAGGACGTATTTGAGGTTGATCAAGTCTGTGTGCTTTTTGATTGGTTGACCCTATTCAAATGTTCAATTTTTTATCTTTACCTCCCAAGTTTGCTTCATTTGGTTTTGGTCTCTGAGGCGCTGGACTTTTCTAGGCATCCTCAACAATTCCAACGAGATTTCCGGCCGTCGTGAAGATGTGAAATTGTACTTCCATCTTTCTTGTTTGTTGTACTCTGAATCATATTCATGAACTGCCGCTTATTTCCTGAACAGGGACTCATCTAAAGCTGCGATTTTCTCGATTCTGGACACTTCGTCGTCATCTTTGTTCGCTTCGATTTAGGTGTGTGTTGGAGGACATTGCGCTAAATTTTTTAAATTCCTTGTGAACCTATATAATAGTAGCGAAGATAGCTCAAAACGCAGACGCGGTGTGGGCATTTCTATTTGGTGATTTGTATCAGAAATTCTTTTTTCATTGTACATTTTCATCCTGAAACTGAGCCATGTGTAAGACGAATCTGAGATACGATCAGGCGTAATGCTTTTATTGTTGGGCCGTCGTCAGAAATGTGTTGAATGGCTGTGAAGATTAAACGAGCAGTAGAGGATAAATTGTCGCCGACAAACCCCTGCCGGTGCCAAGAGTGGGGAGTCTACTGTAACCTGTGCTCATCAGATTAGCCTATTTTCACTTCTGGGTCCTTGGAATTACCAAAAAGGTGGAAGCGCTAGCCCCGTGCAGTCGAGTTATCATTATGGATTTGAGTTTGCACATTGGGCTATGCCGATTTACGCGGCTCAGTTGGATCTACGGCCATGGCGATTGGCTTGCTCACGCATTATAGTTAGTCCCTGAGCCGTCGACCCCAATCGGTGCTTCACCGTCCTGCCATTTGTGAGCGCGTTAAAGCATGTGAAATAAAAAATCATTTTCTCCCAATCTCTCCTTAAGTGCTCTTAGGTGTTTCTAACTTTACGCTATATAAAGGTGCTTTGTTACTTGTATCTGCCTCTGCGCTTTTATATTTATCGGTATATTTTGAATAGTTGTTTTTCAGTTGGCATCCATCCTTTCCTTGGCAAGACTTTCGATGAAATCTCTTCTTGAATATGGTTATCTTTACTTATCATGATTGTTTTTCTCCTGGTTACGCCTAGTGGATTTCAATGTTGCTGTTCGAATTCGGGGAATGAGATCGGCTGATATCGTCCGAAAGTGTGATTTTAAGTAACCTGTTTACGAGAGTCTGAGAGTTGATAGTATTTACAAATTGTTGGTTAGAATGAGAATGTCCTTTTGAATTATATGATTTCCCCGAAGTTGAGTGTAGGATTGTTTGAAAATGACCCCTTGACACTGTCGCCACGAGGGTTTCTTGGGAACTCGACCACTGTAGTCCAGATATTTCATTGTTCCAATGTAACATCAACTGTTTTTATTGGCCCTTATTTCCTTTTTCTCCGATTTAAATACCTTTAACGGTGTTACCCATGTATATGTGACAGGTTGGCAAGAACATCGGAGTGTCACATATATGACACTAAGCTACGACCGAGGTAGATGAATGCCTTGAGATTCTAAGCTCTGATTATCGTTATCAGCCTAACTAAGTCATTTTGCGTTATTCGACAAGTAATTTGACCAGTTGATCTTCAGCGTAGTTTGAAAAAGCATTGAAAGGGGGCATTCCTGATGTTGGTGCTTAGATCTATGTGACATGGATTCACTGAACCATACCACTAATGCCAAAATGACAAGGCCGTGTCATCGTCAGCACTTGAGCACTGTTCACGTGCTTCGCTCTCATCTCTGCTTTGAGTTGTACTCAAGAGCTACATCCTCTTGTCAACCGGACACTTCATGCTTCATAATCTGTCATAATGTGTTGCATCACTTAGCTTTATCCTCAATCAGTCAGGCTTTTCACGACTTGCTACCTGAAATGAAGGGTTCGGTGGGTATCCAACTTTTCGACGCTTGCTGGGTCAGATCAAACACTGGCATCGATTCTCGTGCTAGCACCTGGAGTTTCTATGGTAAAGGAGTCAATATCGAGCTTTTTTAGCTGTCACGCTAGAAAGTGATTTAGAACTGCCAGTGAAGTTAAGGCTTTTTATGTCCTACAGGTTTAGAGGGGGGTATCTACCGGGATGCTATAATAGTGGTACTGGCAATGTGGTATACCTTTCGTTAAATCTCAGGTGCCTCAGAACAGCACCATTAAGTCCCGTAGCCCACTTTGTTATCGAAATATTGGGTTGTAGTGATGTAATTGTCTCATTTTCAGATTGCAATAGACATCACCTGGTGATTCCAGCCTGCGGTTACATAACAGAATATCACTTGTAGCATTAGCGACGTATTACCGCTGTTGTCTTACATTCTGTAGTGTAATGCCAGCCAATTATTTTCAGGCTTACTGGAATAACGACCTCAGCTCCTGATATTTGGATGGTTGAGTCACTGCTGCTATACCACTTGGTTAGTATTGGTGGTTTAGTTCAGCAATCACTTCTGGTTCTAACGCGCAGTACCGCGTTTCAACCGATAATTCCTATTTCTGAGCACTTATTTTTAGCATAAACGCTTGTACACACAGGTCCAATTCGTCGTCGTGCCAGCACTCGCCACTATGGTGGCAACCTGGATTCACAGATCTCTCACCCTGTACGTGGACTGATGGAGGAGTTGGAGCATTCGATGCCGTTCCAGGAGAGTGGTGGAGGTGGGACGAGCTTTGCCCCTGGCCCTTCCTCTGCCACTTCCGCCACCGCCCTCCTCTACGAGGCGTCGCCGGGTCTACCAGTGACCAATGCCAATAGTTACGCTCTATTGGTGGCACGGCTCACCGAGTGGCAACGCCGACAGCACGAAGCTGACTTGGTGGCTAGCTGGAAGGATTGGTGGCAAGCGAACACGCGGGCTAGGACGCATCTATCTCAGCTGAGAAAGTGTCCTCAAGTAGGCATTTCTATCTTCTGGTGCCTGTTTCTGTTGTGGCCTACTCACTGCATTGAAGGTGACTATCTTCCACGTTTTATAGCTACTCTGGTTATGTTTTAGTACTGATGGATATCAGGCTTCTAGGGTCCACATTGTTCCGTGCACTCACGAGTGATGCTTCAGACCTGATTTCGGTGAATCTTGCAAGAACTGGTCGGTTATTGCCACCTCGTTTTTCAGTGTTTTAGGCGTGAATTCTTCGAATCGTAGCAGCTATCTCTTCACCAATTCTCCTGTTATTCTGTTAATACTTTACCTTTTTGACACTTGAAACTAGCTTCGGCAAATTCAAGCCCTTTTCATTTTCTTTTATTCGCGGGATTTTTCCTCCTGTTCCAATTTTCTGAAGTTTGGAAGGCGGCTGATCTCATTAATTTAAGCTATCCTGACTTTTTATGTTTAATGCGACTGTAATTGACTGGCAACAATTGTGGCTATTGAAGGTTGAATGCTCGTTATTGCTTCCTGGTATCGTGTCTGTTCCTGTTTTGAAATAGGCAATTTTTTTACGTCACCAAAGTTAGTTTTCTGGTGCTGCACTGTCTTCATTTTTGGCAGTTTTCCTCGCTTCTCTTTTTTCATACCTTCAAAGTCTGCTCTTCTACGGGGGTCTTCGGGCCCACGTTGTTTGAGGTCCTGTGTTTCAGCTGTGAGTTTTGTCAACCTGCAAAACTATGTCTTAAGCTTACATCTTTCAAATCTTTTGACCATTTGCTGCTTGTGCTTCCAGAGGTAGATTACTGAAGCTTGATTATTCCGAGTTGCTCCCTAGATGCGTGTTTTTGGTCTGATTTCTGCGGCGCCTTGCGATCAATTTATTCTGGCAGGAGCTTGATATTAGATAGCCGGTTTTTTGAAAACTTCTTTCTCAACTGAGAGAGTACACCTGGTGGATGTTACTTGAAATAGGATCGTTGTT